ATCCTCAGATCTCAGCCTCCTGAGTAGCTAGGATTATAGGCATGAGCCACCAACACAGGTAGGACTGCTTTTGAGCGTTTGCTGTGAAACTAACTTCATTAGCTAGCTAATAGGTCACTTTTACCAGTGATAGAACAAACAAGTTTCTTTAATCAGAGAATATAATCATCCAAATAACAGAAGACCAGTGACGGCTAGCTATATAGTTGTTAAATTGGTTTACCTCCCCAGCATCAGCTTCCTAAAATTGGTCCCACACATATCTAGCTCCTGTGTTTCGGCTCTAGCTGTTCACTTCAACACTATCTATTGTTCATAAACACATGCCCAAGGGAAAGAAAGGTTTCTTATAGTTTCCTGCAAATCCCTCTTTCATTGACTTACATGGGCTTGACTTTTCTTAAATTAAGAAAATTACTAACGTACCTTGGCCAGTCTGCTCCTACTCTTGCCCTTGGCAGTATCCCGCAGAACCTGAAGAAACGATAATAGGACTAAGTGAATTGCTTAAAGGAAATCAGAGTGCTAAGGGCTGCTAACGTTTTCTTTTATAGAGCAAACATTATGCCTATGTTTGCCCTATAACCTTCTATGATTTCTCAAAACTTTGGTGTGATTATTGTTTATGCTTGTTTGGTAAGTATTTGTAGGTTGGCAGAAATGTGTTCATTATTATCATTAATATCATTGGTGATGTTTGGGGCAGGAATAGCTGTGTATAGCAACACTTTCCAGCTGTGAAAAACAAACAATGTATGCAGACCTCAGGGCATTGTCAATTGTCCATTGAAGGCACAAACAGCTGTACGTGAGGCCACTAGTTTACCTAAAGTATGAGGGTAGAAGTTACTGCGTGGCTAATCCCTTTAAATAAAGTTAAATTTTGCTAAGCTGAATCAAAACCCCTCAGTGATAGTTAAATGTGGCCCTCTATTTTGTCTAACTGCTGAATACTCTTGGCACATTCTGAATGGGGCAATCAGTAAGTTCCTCATATAGGCCACACAATTCCTGGGAAATCTCAATGAGTTGTCAGAAGAAATGTAAAAGAAAATGGAATCTGATGATTCAGCTTGTAAGTTTCCTATGGTAGATTTCTTCTCAGACGACATGTTTCTTTCAATCCTTTTCTATTGTAAGATACAGACAGGGGATCATCCATGCTTTTGTTTTTGTTTTTGTGGTTGTTGATACTCGAGCACTTTTTAGATGGATTTCTAAGGGATTGTTTTTAACAACTTCTTTCCTCCCTCCCCCAACTCCAAGAATATCGGGTCTTATACTCACTCTTTCCAGATTATGGCAATTCACATTCTGATAACTTTTATTTCAAAGCCTCTGGTCATTTGAGAGGAATCAGAGGTAGAAGCAGCCTTCTGCATAGTTGGTCCTGGGGTCTTTTCCTCCCTCAGAAAGCACAAAATAGAGAAACTGGGAAAATTGTCAATGTGAGATTCATGCCTGCTCTTCTGCTTTCAACCATCTCAGTAGTGGATCACTGGCCCACACTGACAGTCATCATAGAGTCTCAGGGCTGAGTGATATTTCAGCAATCCTGTGTTACAGAAGGTAAAAATACAAGGTTAAAGAAACACAATGCCATTACAGAATGTGTTACTAATTTTAGAGAAAGGCATTTCACAGTCTGGTTTAAAAGAAGCTTTGCCATTCAGCACTTCCCCCCTTACATCCAAATACATAACTCTCATCAGAATAGGCTGCATTTTTCAGATAGTTTGCTCTCTTACAAATTCAATCACCTCTGCTTCCAGCCAATATGGAAGTACAGGGTCTGGATTTATGCTTTTTAAGTTGGACAAAATATACAAAAAGAACAGTTTGCATGACTGTGGATGCTAGGCAATGGAAGTCAGTGGCCCTTGTGACTGGGAAACCAATAAGATAATCCCTATGATTGTTCTTGCTTCTTACCTCGAGAGACCTGTAGCCTGGAGCTTAGGGGACAGTGAAGCCAGAATCACACAGTTCTAGAGTTGAAGATGACATGGAGCCAAGTATCTGAGTAGCATTATGTACCAACAGACAGAGCTTCCAAGGCCCTTTCCATATATTCCACAAAACACTGATTGACGACCAAGAGTAAAGAAACTACCTGAGTCCCAGGGGGAGGGGACAAGGCATGTGAAAGGATGACTACCAGACTCTCACATAGGACTTGGGGAAAAATACCTGTCTCCATCAGGCAGTCAAAACTCTTCTAAATTGCAGAGAATACCCAGAGGGCTCTTGTCTGGGTAATGGAGGATAATTAGCCCTTCATGAGACATAGCTCCAGACTTGTCTAACGGAATTTAAAAGCAGGAGTTGAAAGGAACAAACTGTTTCTAAGTAACTTGACTGCATCCCCTAATACAACACAAGAACATTAACAAAAAATATTCAACTCAACAAGGTCAAATTGATGATATTTGGCCTCTAGTCAAGAATTACCAAGCATGAAGAAAAGCTAAAAGCATGACTCATAATGAAGAGACAAGTCAATCCATCAGAACTGACAGACACAGGCCTGAAACAGATATTAGAATGAGCAGACAAAAAAGAGAATTAAAACAGTTGTTCTTATCGCGTTCCATATGTTCAAAATTTGAATTATTCCTGGAAGACAAATGAATCACCCCAAATTTAACTTCTTGCAAGAAAAAATGATAGTATCTGAGATAAATACACTGGACATGATTAACAAGAGAGTAGATGTCACAAAAGAAAGATTAGTCAGTTTGGAGATATGGCAATAGACATCCAAAAGAAAAGATAATTTTCAGTGAACAGATAATCAGTGTTCTTTGGAAAGAACCTGAGCATTCTAACATGCATGTAAACAAAGAGAAATAAACAGAAAAAGAAATACATTTTTTTCTTGTCTAGAAAATTTCTAAGCCTATTTAAAGCCAGATTGGAGAGCACAAGAAACTCAAAGCACAGAAAACAAACAAACAAAAAGCAAGAGAAGTAATGGCCATTTATTTGACACTAATGATAAACACTGAAAAGCAGCATGAGAGAAAGATACATTACACATAGGGAAGCAGATTTCTCATCAGAATGTGAGGGAAGAACAATGGAACATTTTTAAAGTAGTACTTTAGAGAGGGTGTGGGGAAAACATGTCAATCTGGAATTCTATACCCAGTTAAAGTATCTTTCAAATACAAAGGTGAAGTAAACATTTTTGAAACATTAGAAAGTTGAAGGAATTCTGTGAATTTACAGCATAGGAAATATTAAAGAAACCTTCAGGCAGAAAGGACATGATATCAGGTGGTTGTCTAGATGGGCAAGAAAAAATGAAAATCTGATGTAATAACCTGATAACCCCTGCCTCGGACTCTTGCTATGTCTGTACCCGCATTCCTTGAGTTGAACTAGGAGGCACCTCCTATGTATGTCAAGACACATAGAAGAACAGGATGAAAAGGACATGGTCCTTGAGAGAGGAAAACAGAGCTGCACTCTGATGATCGAGACCCTTACCTAGAAAACTGTATGGGTTTTTTTGTTTGTTTGTTTTGGTTTTGGACAGTGATGGGGCTTGAACTCAGCCCCTGGGCACTGTCCCTGAACTTTTTTGCTCAAAGCTAGTGCTCTACCACTTGAGCTACAGCTTCACTTCCACTTTTCTGATGGTTAACTACAGATAAAGAGTCTCATGAACTTTCCTGCCCCAGCTGGTTTTGAACTGTGATCTTCAGATCTCAGCTTCCTGAGATAGGATTACAGGCATGAGCTATCAGCACCTAGCTTACGTGTTTATATTTTGAGGTTTTACTAATGCTCTAGATTAACCTTTCACTAATTAACATAATTCTTTTTCAAGTTGTGCTTTTACAGTAAGATCTTTAATGTACTTGGATTTTTTTTTTCCTCAGAAAGGACATCGTTTTATCCCTATGTGAAAGAGTTTGTATATCTCACACCTGTATTTCCATGTGAAACTTTCTGAGCTCTTTCTACTCTGTTCTTACATAATTGCATTCATGTGGCAAATATGTTTGTGTTATGACTTGATATCTGGTAGGATGAATATTCATTTTTTCTTCTTTCTCTAATTTATTTTGGCTCTTTCCTGATAGTTGTTAAAAGCAAGTGAGAAGTGGGAGCAGCAGACAGATCACATTCACTTCAAACTGTGGGTTGACGAACACAGAACTCTTCCATTCTACTTTCAAGGGGTTGTCTAAGTGACTTTTTATTCTCACAACCAGTAAAAAGTATGGTCAGATCTCCCCCCTCTGTTACCTTGCATTCTTTTAGAATGAAGGGTTTTGTCTCCCACATTGTCCCCTGTGGACCACATGAACAAAACCTTATTCGATCACACTTCAATTTATATCAACTATATATCAAGGGCTCCTTCAAGGCACAGGCCAGATTAATCTTTATTAGATTCTCAGAGAATATACCATGCTTAATTTACTTTATCATCGTTTCAATCAGTGCTTTGACTAATCAAGGGTTGAATTCGCTGTAACTTCATTTTAATAATCTGTTCAGGGAACTCCCAACAATGTATGCAACATTCATCACTGACTGTGTTTCGAGTGCCTTCTTTGCAATAAGACACTAGGTAAATAGTCTTCTCTCATGGAAAAAATCCAACATTATACAAAAGAAGCAGAATTATAAATATTTAACTTTAGAACTGTGTTAAAGCGCGCGAGAGAAATAATGGAGCCCTCTAGGAGAATCACTGGGGACAATGTGAGGAAGAATGGATACTGAGTTAACCTAGATTTATGCAGAAAATTAAACATGTATATATCTCTCTATATATTTTCTAATAATCCACTTATTTATCTCACAACATTCATGGTCCTTGAACACCATAACTGTCTAGATATTATGCTCACAAAAGTGTCCGAGACTCAGTTTCTGTCTTTGAGGAACTCTGGTCTCAATTATTTGATGGCAGAAGTACCTGCCATTGAAACCATTGCATCCCAAATGGAAACAAGCATGTTCTTTACCTTTTCCTTTTATAGATGAGGATAGGAATTCATTCGGGCTCCGTGCTGGCTGGAGTTGTCGGGGTGAGAATGCCACGATACTGCCTGTTTGGAAATAATGTGACTCTGGCAAGCAAATTCGAATCAGGAAGTCACCCTCGCCGCATCAATGTCAGCCCAACCACTTACCAGTAAGTGCTCTCCAGCCTTCTTCCTCCTCTCCTTGGTACTGAGTTGAACTGGTATCCTGCCATTCTCCAAGATATTATAAGTAGACCGCCCCATCTGAAAGATACTAATAGTGACACAGAGTTGCTTTTACATCCTGAGTGAGTACCTGGAAAATCTGACTTGACTGAGAGGTAAATAAAGGTTTGTCACTTCCCACAATCCATCTTGGGGTGGTATACCTGCTTAACGTATAGGAGAGCATAAATGTTAAGGGGTCTACATTGCATTTTAAATCCTAGTATCTTCAAAATCTTCCTTTGGTTTCTATAAACAATGAGTAAGATGGAAAAAGTAGTTAATATTTATTATTTTAAAAAGAACAGAAATACTTTTAAGAATTCTAAAGTTCAATATACCACGTACAGAGTAAAACTTCAAACTCTGTATTGATCTTAAGGTCACTGATGACACTACACATTTTTGCCTTTCCGGTTTACCCTTGTTTTGTTTCTGATGTTATATCCCCTATGAAAATATTAGATTCCATGTAGGCAGAGTATATCTGGTTTGGTGCATCAATATGTTCCCCAGGACTTAGGGAAAAAATGTTTAACATAGACCAAGAACTTTCTTAAGCATTTATTGAGTTGATGAGTTAAGTGTTCAATAAGCTAGAACTCTATGAATACATGGCAAAGAATGTTATGAAAATCTCTCACCTACCTCAGACTTTTGTACTAGTCATTGGTACACATTTCACTAGTATCTTATTTTGGTTAACTTAGAAACATCAAATTCCACTGCTTGGTATATTAACTTTCTATTTATGTGTCTCTAAACAGTAGAATCTTATTTTACATATTTTAATCGATATAAGTGGTATTTGGCTATATTCTTTCTCCTGCTTTGGCTTCTTTTGAACAAAAATTTCATAATTTTACAATCTGTCTGATGAAACCATAGATCTGTGCTCACTGGATACCAGCTATATGACATTGAGTACATGTTTTATTATTTCTCCATTGATGAACATTTAGTTTTATTTTGTACTTTGAAATTCATACAAAGGATGCTCTTAAGATTATTTACTTTGCATTTCATCTAACAATTTTACTGGAATTACTGGATTCTTTTTAGTTTGAAAATTCCTTGTAGACATAGTAGAAAATGTCTTTAGGATCAGGACTATAACTCTGATTTGACAGTCCTCATTTTTTTGAAATATTGTGTGAGTCATTGTGGTGCTTGAATGCCCAGGGATCATTTACTCTTCATCTAGAGCATTTCATTGCTAATTTTATTTCTTGACAAAAATAAATCTCTATTGAGTCTAGGTTTCTCCATGTTTGATGATTTCATTTTTTTATGTAATAAATGTGATGTTTACCCTCATCTTTGTTCCCACTCATCTCTATTTATAAATAGTGCACATATTACAAAGAATGGCCTTACCGTTGTGTTACTGATCTATGAGACAAAAACTACTGCTAATGTTGAGGATGGCATTGGCAAATTTTGAAGTGGCATGAATAATTGAATGATTTCCCTGAGCAGAGTTGTTTTTCCTTGAAGGATGCAAACTAAAAATGTAGAAAGACTTGTTAATTACATTAATATGAAAGTTTCCTTAACTTTTAAACATTTGTGACTTTCTCATTTCACAGTTGATTAGCTTCTAGATAGTTTTAAAGAATGCTTGTTATTCTTCTATGGTGAAATCCTCTTGTCCTGATAATGTCAAGCTTTATTTACTTTTTACCACTACAACTCATAAACAGTTCATTATAAGAAATTTGAACAGGCTAAGTCAATGGTTTAGTGCACATGCTCAGAATTAGATGTATGGGTCAGAATCCTGGCTCAAAAATTTAGTGTCTTATGTTCATTGGACCAATTTTTCTCATCTTGAAAATGAGTACTTATTCAGAAATTATTGCTAGGGTGTAACTGATGTTCATAAAAGTTCTTGCTTGGCACACAGTAGACATGTATTCATTGCTTCACCCCATTCCCATCATGAAGATGGACATCCTTTTCTGTACTTCATTCTCCCATTTTACGAATAGTTCTATTACAGACTTTATCTGGCAATCCCAAGGAAAGAAAGCACTTGGTTATTTGGTCAAAGGTATTTGAGCTATGAGTCAAAAATGGAACTAGCAATAGGTTTTATTCTTAAAGTTTTTATAGCAATGGTCTAACTTAGAATTACATGCTAGAAAGTGGCTGTTTTCCTGGAAAATACCCCAACTTAAGCAGAGGGATATAACTGCTTCAATTAATGATCGACAAGTAATTATATGATTAACTACTTACTATGGGCTTCAACAACCCAATATGTTATCTAATTGTTTCATAGCAGTGTCATTGAACTAGAATCAAGTTATCATCTATGTTGTATTCTTGGCAAAAATCCTTGTCTCATAGAACTTCCTTTTCCAGCTACTAGAATTTAACTTCCTTGCTTAGCGTGATCCCCTTCCTCCATTGCTGAAGCCAAGAATGATACCTGTTTCTATCACCACATCTCCATCTCCTGACTCATCTTCCTCTCTCTCCTACTTTAAGGGTCCTGATGATTCTACCTAGCCCAGTAGATAAGCTAAAAATCATCTTAAAGTCACACAACTAGCCATTTTAGTTCATCTGCAACCTTAATTTTACTTTTCCATGTAGTCTGTCATATTCACAGGTTTCAGAAATTAGTCTGCCTATATAACAAGAGAAAATCTTAAAGGCTAAAAGCTCACTACCTACCATTCTTGAGAACATTTCTACTTAACGTGTCAATGTCAGCAAACTCTTGAGGAAGAAGAGAACTTTACAAGATGCAATTCCTGACTTGTGTAGAATTTTCACTATCACCAATGATATAGATTCCTGAAGATGAGGCTCTTAAATACAGAAATAAAATGCTATCCTCTAAGTAGCTGGAGAGTCCTTGGCTTGAGTCAATTAAGATATCCCAAGAAATGTGGAAAGATGATTACAGTCCTTAAGAGTTTATAACCTTCCCACAGACATACTACCCCCTATATAACCCATAAAGAAGTTGTAACATTGGTACTTGAAAGGATGAGATCACAATAAATGAAATCAGAGGCAGGCCCAGGCAAAATGTTAGCAAGACTCCATTTCAGTATAAACAACCAGTATGTATCCAAGCTACATGGGAAATAGAAGTATGAGGATCATGGTCCACAATGGCCCTGGGCACAAAATGAGATCCTATTGCAATGAGGCTCAAGTGTTGAGTGCCTGTCTATCAAATGTGAGGCCCCGAACTCAAACTCCAGTATCACAAAGAACGACCCCCAATTTTTAAGTCTTAAATTACAAGTATCTTTAAACTATTAGTAATTAGGCTTAAAATTCCATAGATCATGTTTTCAGGCTAGAGTTTCAGAGAGTGCATAAATTCCTGCCCTAGGAATTAATGCTGTCTAATTTTGGTTGAGATATTAAGGATCTAGATGGTCAATAGCAGATCTGTCACCTCTAAAACCCCATGACAGTCATAGTAACCTTCTTCGGATTATTTATTCTCTAAGCAACTTTTTCACATTATCTTCATAGAGTCCTCTCAGTGAGTCTGTAATGAACTCTTTTTTTCTTTTGTCCATTGTGGGGTTTGAACTCAGAGCCTGGGTGCTGTCCCTGAGCCTCTTTGTGCTCAAGGCTAGTGCTCTACCACTTGAGCCACAGTGCCACTTCCAGTTTTGAATGGTTAATTGGAGACAAGAGTCTCATGGAGACTTTTCTGCCTGGGCTGTCTTTGAACCATGATCCTTAGATTTTTTTGCCTCCTGAGAAGCTAGGATTACAGGCATGAGCCGCTGGTGCCAGGCTTCATTTTTCAAATGAAAAGAAAGTGAGACTTAGACAGGTTTCATAGATCACCAATAACGTATATCTAAATTAAGACAGAATTCACATGTACATGTTCCCATTCTAGAACCCGAGTCTTCATCCATGGCCAAACTACCTCGGTGAGAACTAATTAAAAATTCTAATGGATAAAAACCACAATAAACAGGCAGAGAGAGCCATCAGGATCAAACAAGAATTGGAAAGAAGGAAGTTCTGTTCTTTTCTGGACTCTGTGGACATAATACTTGATGTACTCAGGTTATTCTGAACTTCTTTTCCTAGTAGGGGAATAAAATAGAAGCACATTGAGTCTCCATATTTCTAGCCACACATCTTTTCCTGGATTGAATATGAAAAAGTGTGGTCAGTAGAGAATCTTAAATGAACCAGAAAGCTGTTTTTATGTGAAGCTGAAATCTTTAGATTAAGCAGGCCTTCCTGTGAATAATAAGTTACTGGGTCTTTAAAAAGGGAAAGCATTTACTGACCCTTGAAAATAATACCTTATTTATTTTCTCATTTATGGTTACTTTTGGGCATAGCAGGTAATCTAGCTTCTATATAACTTTTTATATTTCTTCATTTTTTCTTCTCATTTATGCATACATTATTAAAAGGAAACGACAAAATTCTATATTAGTCTCTTTCAGGGTTTTTTATATATTAAATTCTCCCAAAAGCATAATTTTCTTGCCAACAGAATTAATCATGAAGCTAGTGTATCTGTGGCTCATGCTTGTAATCCTAGTTACTCAGGAGGCTGAGATCTAAAGGATCAGTTTGAAGCTTCAGGGGCAGAAAAGTTTGCTAGACTCCAAAATAACAGGCCAAAAGATGGACTGGAGGTATAGCTAAAGTGGTAGAGTGCCAGCTCACATGCATGATGCCCTGATACTAGTCAAAAAAAAAAAAGAAGAACAAGAAAGGATAGTCATGGATTATATCACGTGAATACATTTGAACATTTCATCAAAAGATTGTATGTGTGGATAATTCATTTTTAACCTCAAGAGCTGAAGCCAGGCTTATTTGGACCCTAATCTTGTAGTGACCATTTTTTTTTCTCATTGTTCTTGTGTTGGCAGTGCTTTGTGCCCTAGGAAAATTCTGATGGCTGTCACTTGTTTTGGTTGAAGTTCAAACGATCTCT